CTGTGTCTCTCTCTGTCAAATAAATAAAAATAAAATCTTTAAAAAAAAATCAGATATTATCCCCAGTTAAAAACCCTCAAATGGCTTCCCAAGGCACTTATAATATATTCCAGACTCTTTCTTGGGACTGTGAGGCTGTGTGGCCTGGCCTGCCTCTCTGACCTCAAATCCTCCTCCACTTTCCCTCCTACTCAATGGCTCTCCGAGCAGTGGCCATATAGCCCTGCCCAGGATGCTCCCTCACCTCGTCCCTGGGGAGCTGGCCTGTTCTTGCTGCCAAGGTCTTTGCTCAAGTGCTGCCTCCTCAGAGAGGCCTCCCCCATCACTAGATCCATTTAGAAGTGACTCAGGCACTCTCCATCACTTGTTTCTGCTTTACTTTCTTTACTTTCTTCCTAACACTTACTCCTCCTCTAGAATTTAACTCTAGGTAGGCAGGGACCACACCTGAACTGTTTTACCTCTGTAAACCCAGAACCTGTTCTATGAGATGGGGATGCATCAGTGAAGAAAACACCAAAATCCCTGCAAGAATTTCTGTGGGGGTGGGGAGGGGAAGTAGGCAATAAATAGGCTAAACAAGTAGAGTGGATATTATGTTGGATGGTGATAAGCACTGAGGAGAAAAAGAAAGTAGGGAAGGGGTGTGGGTACTGCGGGTGTATGTGCAATGCCAGATGGAGAAGGCCTTACTGAGCAGGTGACCAGACCTAGGGGAGAAACAGAGAAAACCCACTGGAATCTGGAGAAGAGCTTTCAAGGCAGGGCACCATAAAGCATAAAGTCAAAAACTGAACCCAAAGGTCCTGAGGCCAGGGCATACCTGGAGTATCTGAAGAGCAGTGGTGAGACCAGGTAGCGAGAATGGGGTAGGTGGTGGGGGACAGTGGGCAGCCAGACCATTTAGGGGCTTTAAGCTGCTATGAGGATTGGGCTTTTCTGGGTGAGATGGGGTGCCGTGGGAGGCTTTAGCTTGGGAGGGATGAGAAGACAGGACAGGAACTGGAGCATACATAGAAACGTAACAGTTCATCCACAGTAACAGGAAAGACTATGGACTATTTGTCATAGGTGCAGGCAGGCAGGAAGGTAAATGTGTCGGGAGCTTATGGACCCTTCCTTCTGAGTGCTTCTATTTTCTTAGTGCCACGGGCAGCAATATCATTAGCTGGGAGAATGTGGATGAGGAAAGAGGTATTGGAGGTTTTAAAGGAGAAGACAGATAGAAATCATTTCCTCGGTAGCGGTTAGTGGGTGAGTGAGTGTGCTGTTGGGAAGCCCTGGGCAGTGCTGAGAGCCCAGGTGAGTGGGAGGAGAGCTGGATTTAGGGTTTAACAAGGTGAGTACGAGGGGAGAGAAGGGCAAGGCAGCTGAGGATGTGAGATTCCGGTAACTGACCACAGGATTTAATCATAAGTAGAGAACTGGAAAGAATAATGGTAAAAAAGTTCATGCATGTTTAGAATGACTGGGACCAGACTGATCCGGGAAGACCCTCCTAGATGAACCCTGAAGCTCTGGATCCAGGGATAGTCAAGGACTATTTACTGAATATCACTCAACATGTATTGAACACCTTCATTCAAGGAACCATGAGAGGTGCTGTAGGAACAGAAAGTCTAATGCTCTTCACCCAGCTAGAAGTAAAAATTCTTACGTGGTCTCAGACATGATATATGCTTCAGGAACTGAAATAAGACTGTTTCAACTTTCTCCTAAGTAACCAAATTGACTATTATTAACACGTAACTGTTTTTAGGTATGTGCTTCTACTGAGGTTAATTACATGTGTTTCTGTTATAATATCTGTGTTCCTAGAAAACCTACAGTCTACAGAAAACACTCAGTAAAATTGCAGGCTTATTGGAAAAATAGGATTAAGCAGGTCACTCAAAATTTATGCAACTTTGAACCCAGAGCACTAGCCAAAACAACATTTGGGATCTCGGGACATAACCAGGACATCTAGGGTGGCCAGCAGGGCTGGAGGCTACCTCAGGGGTTATGAAAACTGCACATAAGCAATCGTGGAAATGCTAAGGCGAGGCCAATGGAAGCTGAGCTCTGACCCAGTAAAGGCGGGTCCAGACGGTGGCGCCAGGACACCTGAGCAGAACCCAAGAGGGTGCGCCCCCAGGGGAGGGAGCCCTGGGAGTGGAAACTTGGAATCTTCCACATTTACACTAACATAGGTCCTGATTTATCGGTCACAAATGAGCTAACTGATGTCACAGAAAGAATAACCATGTAATTATCTTTGTACTAAAATTTAAAAAATTACAACTATTTAGAAAACCCTCAAAATTTTATTTATTTTTTTATCATTAAGCATAGTACCATGTTATTAATTTAACTGCCCCATGTAAAAGTGATTCACAGTTTACCTTCTTGACCTTGGCCTCCTTCAGTTTTTCCAATGCTAGCTTAATTTTATCAGCCTTGGCTTGGGCTGCTTCTTCTTCCTGTAAAACAGCAAGACATTCAACACTGTCCACCAGAAAACAGTAGTGAGGAAGTAGCCATGCCATGGCTAACGAACGTCTCAGTTACTTTATGCTGACAAAAGGCTGTGTTGGGGGCACCAAATTTCACACTTGATTTTCAGAATTCAAATGACTATAACAAAAATCTTCAGCCCAAAGATGTAGAAGGCAGTCACCCTTTGTATCTTAGAGATAGTAACCTCAAAGATAAAATGACGACTCTAAAAAGGCCTCACATGTGGACTCCACAAAAAACTGAGTGACTCAAAACTGGGGTCTCAGTTGAGGAATCTGCTAGTGAACTCAAGGGATTTGAGCACTCCTTGAAATTACACACATTCTTCTGGATCAGTGTGCGTTTTCTGGAATTCCTAGTTTTTATTCATACCTAAAGGGGGACTTACCTTCCTGTAAGTTAAGACTTAGACTCAAACTTAAACTTATAATTCACCAAGAAAACACTGACAAACACTTGAGTAGGCAGAAAAGAGACTGAAATATTTTATGAGCCCAAAAGCCCTTTGATTTTTTGTAAGTAAATATTCTAAGAATAGGATTATTAAGGCTCTCTTACCTATTTATTTTTTATTTTTAAAATTTAAATTCAATAGCCAACACATTATTTATTTATTTATTATTTATATTATTGTTATGTTCAATTAACCAGCATATAGTACATCAATAATTTTTGATGTAGTGATCAAGGATTCATTAGTTGAGTATAACACCCAGTGCTCATCACATCATGTGCCCTTCTTAATGCCCATCACTGGGTTACCCCATCACCCCACCCATGTCCCTTTCCACAACCCTCAGTTTGGTTCCCGGAGTCCAGAGTCTCTCATGGTTTGTCTCTCTCTCTGATTTCTTCCTGTTCAGTTTTCTTCTACCTATTTATAATGATGAGGAATGAGCTGTTCTGGTTACTTTCTAATTACTTGAAAGCAGATATACATCTTTTTACACCAGTGATTCTTAATTTTTTTTTTTTTTTGAGCCACCAACCCCTTTAGGAATATGTTGAAAGCCATGAAGCCCATAAAGCCTTACATGGGTATTCAACTTTGCATATACTTTCAGGAAATCATGGCCTCCTTGAAATCTTCATGGACACTACATTAAGAGCCTCTGCTCTTTAGAATGGCAGTTGTCCAAGAGACAAGAGAAAGCAAGTGTTGGGGAGGATGTGGAGAAAAAGAGAACCCCTTTGCACTGTTGGTAGGATTGTAAATTGGTGCAGCCACTATGGAAAACAGTATGGAGGTTCCTCAAAGAACGAAAAATAGAAATACCCTACGATCCAAAAATTCCACTTCTGGGTATATATCCAAAGAAAATGAAATCACTCTCTTTTTTTTTTTTTTTAAGATTTTATTTATTTATTTGATAGAGAGAGACACAGTGAGAGAGGGAACACAAGCAGGGGGAGTAGGAGAGGGAGAAGCAGGCTTCCCGCCGGGCAGGGAGCCCGATGTGGGGCTCGATCCCAGGGCCCCGGGATCATGACCTGAGCCGAAGGCGGACGCCTAACCCACTAAGCCACCCAGGCGCCCCGAAATCACTCTCTTGAAGACATCTGTATTCCCGTGTTCACTGCAGCATTATTCACAATAGCCAAGACATAGAAACGAACTAGTGTCCGTTGATGGGTGAATGGATAAAAGAAATGTAGTATATATACAATGGAATATATTTTGCCATAAAAAAAGAAAGAAATTTTGCCATGTGCAACAACATGGATGGATCTAAAGGGTTTATGCTAAGTGAAATAAGTCAGAGAAAGACAGATACCATATGATTTCACTTATCTGTGGAATCTAAAAAAGTTGAACTCAGAGAAACAGAAAGTAGAATGGTGGTTGCCAGGGGTTGGGAGGGGGTGGGGAAATGGGGCGATGTTGGTCAAAGGGTACAAACTTCCAGTTATAAGAAAATAAGTTCTGGGAATCTTATGATGTACAGCGTGGTTACTATAGTTAACAATACTGTATTGTGTACTTGAAAGTTGCTAAGAGAGTACATCTTAAGTGTTCTCACCACATACACATGCATGCACACACATGCATACACACAAAGGTAATGTGAAGTGATGGAGGTGTGACTAACTTTGTTATGGTAATCATATTGCAGTATGTGTGTGTATCAAATCATTACATTATACGCCTTAAACTTATATAATGTTATATGTTAATTATAAAATACAGCTGGGGAATAAAGGAGTCTCTGCTCTACACGGATCACTAATTTTTAAATAATATTTCTACAATAAATACACAATAGAACAATGAGCATGATAGAATATGACTTACTATTTGATATATATTTAATATTTGTTCATTCAAAAGGCACTGTAGAAACTTTCAGGGTTACTAGGGTCATATTTATGAATACCGATCATCATCACAAAGTACAACAAATGTGGAAGCAGAAGGAAATAGAGCTGAGTTCTTACATTAAAATATTTTTCAAGTGGCTTACCATAAGAAAAATCCTTAAAAGTGCTCTTTTTACTTGTATGAGAGACATAAGTTAATGTCCCAAATAATGATGATATGAATTTTCCCAGATGTATGGCTTCCCAGTGTTCAGAAATTTATTAATACCGAGCACTCATCATCACCTGCCTGGTCTACGACAACTTCTCCACCCAACTACGACACTACCATGATTCACAGGTATCTTTGCCCTACTGAACAGAGCTGCCAAATTCAACAAAATTCCATTTAATTAAATTCAGAAGTATGTAAGGAATGCTTTCAATTCTTTACATACCGGGCTAGCACCAAAGACACAGACACATATATATCAATTCCACAGTTCATGCCAAGTTAATAAAACATTACCCCAAAATGTTGAGTACTATCAGGGAACATTGCATACAAATATAAATTTTAGCCAAGCTATGTTAACTCCTGAATATGGCCCCAATATGTTCTTTATTCACACCAATGTGTCTTTTTATGGACGATTCTGCCTTTGCAATGAATGTACTCTGTATCCTTGTTTTTTAAGTATCTCAGAACTCCAGATACTTATGAATGTAACTGTCATTTTGAAGAAAGTCAAAGATCATGGGTAGCAGAGGCCAAGAGTCCTGCCATCTTTGCCCCACACACTTACCTGAGAGAGAGGTTCAGGAGGTGGTGGTGGCAGAGGAAGGTCTAACATGGGATCAGCTGGTGGAGGTGGTAAGTCATCCTCATATTGGCTAACACTAATGGCAGCAACACTTGCTCCATAACCAAGAGCTGCTGCCCCGCTGAAATCTGGTACCTCCAGGGATGCTGGATGATGCTGATTCTGACAGGACTCTTTCTGTGCCTGAATTGTCCTCTGCTCAGCCTCGCTTATATCTGCCACCAGATCCGCCATGAGAGCATCTAAATCTTGGTCTTCCAGTGCATTTAAGGACTCTGATGGGGGAAAATCATGTTAATGATCAAAACAACAATTTATGCCTAGAAAAACTGAAAGGAGGTCATTTTTAATAGTGATATTTGGGTACTGGTTGTCAGGGGCTGGGGGTGCGTGTGGGAAATCGGGAGAGGTTGGCGAAAGGGTGTAAACTTTCAGTGGTAAAGATGAATAAGGTCTGAGGATCTAACGTATCTAACACGGTGACTATGGTTGATAACACTATTGTATAAGTGAAATTTGCTGAGGGAGTAGAACTTAAATGTTCTCAACAACAATATCCAAAAGGGTAAATATGATGAGGTGATAGATGTGTTAATTAACTCAATGGAGGAAATCCTTTCACCAGGGATACATACATCAAGTCATCACATTGTACACTTTAAACGTCTTACAATTTTGTCAATTAAACCTCAACAAAGCTGAATTCCTCCCCCCACTAAATAAAAGGAGAAAAATATGTTTGCTATCCTCACAGATTAGCTATAAGTCAGATCCAAGCACATGATTAGCTGTCTAAGTAGGAATTCTTATATATTCTGGTGCAAGATCTGAGAGTTTTAGAAAAGTAGGGGAGGGGAGATGTTGGAAACAGACTGAAGGGGAGTTTTCCCCAGGCCTTAGGGGGACAGACAGAGTACCACTGATAAATATACTTGGAAGAAAGTAGGTCTCAACCAACTGGGGTTTAATAGGATTTAAGACCTTTGGTAGGGATAAAGCCTCTGTAGGGACACCATCCAACTATGGAAACTCTCAGATTCAAAGAAAGAACAATTAATGATAAACAGCAGGAAATAAAGCACTAAGGAGGTTGAAGTAAAAAATAATTTTTAAAAACTGGGCTTATGTGGTAAAGACTTTGTAAGATGGTGAGCTGAGAGTTAACTTTTAGGAAAAGGGCAGACATAGATTTTCAGAGTGAGGGTGAGGGAGGACAGTTCTCATTGGAATTTCTTCCATGTGTGATTGGATCAGACGTGTGATCCTGAAAGCTGACCTATGGTGAGGCCTATGGGTCGTGGGGTCAGTGAGTGGTGTTAGCAGAGTGCTCTTGTGATCAGGCATTCACTAGATAGCAAAGGTAATGAACACAAGATGGACTGGATCTTGAAGTGACCCACGAAGAAGAGGATTCACCTGCTGTGTGTAGGATGAACTGGAATGAGGAAATGCAGCCTACTCAGCAACAGGCATGAGGCTTTGTGAAAGAATTTATTGCCAAACATCACTGTAATAAATACCATGTAGCCTACTGTACTCATGCTAATAGTTCTAGTGTATAGCCCTTGGACTAAGGTCTGGATCTCCAATCTGAGTAAAAAGGATTTATTTTCTTCTAAGCAATTTTTGCATATGACTTCTTCATAAAATTAAATTAACTTAAAATTTTTGCAGAGAAAATATATGTAGAACAAATGAAGCTCATTCACAATTTCCTAATGCCAGCAATTATATGGTGACTGTTGCCATATAAGCAAATGATTTTAATCCTTTATAAAAAATTTTAGGGACAAAGTTCCCATAATAATTCTCATATTAACAACTTCCAAAGCAAATCATAATTCTAACTATATCTATATAAATTGAGCAATATGGAATTGGGGAAAAAGAATGACATGGATTCTGTTGAGAAGTCTGTCACTAACTCTCTGAATGACTTTGAGCAAAGTATTTTAAACTCATTTTAGCAATGTTTTAAGTGAAGACAATAAAACACATTTCTTTTCTAATTCCCAACACATTTATTTTTCAGTACGTATCAGTACTTTTTTTT